TTGGTCCCTTATTAAGGGAATCACAGACAGAAAGGGTGAGTGCTAATTTTTTTTTTCTCCATTCATCAAATAAAAGCCATTTTGTAGTTAGTTATAATAGACTAATTCCTACCTTGCATGTTATGTAAATTTTGTATCAAACATTGGAGCAAGTTGTTTTTTTATTCAAACTGTACAGTCATCTGAAATGTGAAATTCTTTTATTTTTTTTCTTCTTCTTTGATAACATTGTGGGGCTTGATTGATAGATGCATTTTAGAACAATTGGTTTCGTCCAGTCTTTCAGCATAGTATATATCTAAATGATTCTTTCCCAAAGTTAAGATGGTCTTTTTTCTTTTCTTTTTACAAAAAAAAAAGATTACTTTATAGTGTGCATGAAGCAACAGTTGAATTAAAGCAACATAGCCCTTATTGGAAAAGTGTGTTATTGTTAGCCTCTTGTGGCCTTTAATGCTAAAACATTATATAGTTTGGTGTGAATAATGACAACGAATATGTGTTAATCTTTAAAATGACACTGAATGGGTGGAAACCAATTATGCTTTGAGAAATTCAAATTTTGATGTACAATCTGAATAATAAATTGCTCATAATGTCTAGAAATTACTTTCCATCCTGTATATATTCTAATTAAATTATTACATTCTAAATTAGTTCTTTCTAATATCTCTGCCTATTCTTTTTTTTTCTTTAAATCAGCTCCTTCATTTGTTCCAAACCCTTAATCTCTTTCCAGGCATTAGTTTTAGGCAAATACCATTGCATGTTGCGTGATTCATAACATTTCTTCATATCAAGACTAATAACAAGTTAATAATCATGTTGAAATTTTTTACTTTTTTCTTTTTCTTTTTTTTTTTAAATAAAATCATTACTCCCACTCTTCTGAAAGAAGAAAAATTTAAAATAAAATGCCCTTTTTGGCAAGTTTTTGTAATATTTCATTGTAAAATGTGCAATGCAGTTCAATTCTTTTATTCTATTTGATTCTGATATTTTGCCAAAGTCTCTTTCCTTCTCATTTGTGGGTTTCTGAAGAACACTAGTTGGTCAATCACACGGTAGACTTGATAAGCCAATAGACACTCTTGCACAACACTAAATGGTGGACTCTCAAACTGGATGGACAAAAAAAAAAGAAAAAGAGGCACTGTCCAGGACAACATAAAAGCGTTGCATCCAGTGCTTTCTTCTGACTTTGCATCTTGACCGCCAGTGGCTGCCAAGATTATGTGCATGCCTCCTCCTCCTCCTTCTCCTCCTCCTCACTGTCTGCACATTTTGGCCCAAAGAGCCTTGCATGTGTTTCTCATCTCTTTCCACAAAGGGCACACACTAATTCCAGACCTCTTCTTGCCAGCAGCTGCCGAATAAAGTTTTATCTCCATCTTCCCATGTTGACAAAAACGTACAAGAACAGGAGGAGGAGGAGGAAGAAGATGAAGTGGAGGATGTTGATGAAGAAATGGACACGGGCACAATTCGTAGAGTTGATGTCTCATTCAATGATGACAGTGCTGAAAATGATTAGTCTTACATGAATCCTGCTGCCTCACTTGCTGGTCATTTGTTTTTTTTTTATAAAAGATGCAAAATCAATGAATAAAAAGATCTTTTTTTTCCTTTTTTCAATAAAATGGTTGTTTTAGACTTTCCTTTTTTAAAAGCAAAACATTATGGAACAACAACTTCAGCAATCAGAGTTGAAGCAAATGAAAAATATGCTTTTCACTAAGAAATGACACAAAATATATGGATGTGTGTGTCAACAGAAGTGAATGTGTGTGCTTTTCCAATGTATAGGATTGTGCATCTGACAAAATTTATGGATTGTATGGTTGTGTGCATGTGTGTGGCAATATGTTTGTTTAAGAAACTTATTAATGAATAGAAAGAAAACAAATTTCATTTTTATTAATAAATTTACTTCTTTCTACTTTTGTCATCCCAAATCCTGTGATGATTTAAACTCATGTTTAAATTAATAAGTTAGTTTTTAATATTGCAAAATAACTTGTATGAAAAACAACATGAAGAAGTTTTGTTGGAAATAAAGAAAATTTTAAAAATTCTTTATGCTTGTCATATTTGCAGCAAGTCACAACTAAAATCCTGCTTTTAGGATGTATCTAGTTAAAAGTTTTATTATTAAATTTATCAATGTGTTTCTGTTATATTTGTTTGCTTTTGCCTCAGCAAGACTTATTACTCTCAAATAGTTTCATAAGGATATTAATTGTATAGTTCAAGGTCATTCTTAGCTTTTCCAAAAATAATCATTTCTATTTATGAGATTTTTTATTACCCAAATAAATGTCACCTTTTAAGTTTTTGGCATTAGAATTCCAATTCTTACCTTGTCAAAACTGTTTAAAATACTTTTTAAGCAATTCAAATTGGCTAATAAATCTGTTTAATTATTAATAATTTATGAAGTAATGAATCTGTTATAATTATGGTGGAAGTAAGTTGATTAAAACACAGCTGTTTAAAGAGGCTTGTTTTGAATTCATAAAAATGTTTTTCTCTTTTGAAAAGTAGTTGGGCAAAACAAATGTTAATATGATGAATGCAATGAAAACTTTTGAATAAAGAGGGAGAGAGTTTCTGTCTGAAAATTTGGGATGAATAGTTATCACTATTTACATTATTTACAGTCAAACTAATATCCTCATCTGAGTAGTAATTATAACAATGTTTTGGCCATTCTGTTCTCTGGCCTTCTTCAGGTGTCTGTCAATCTTCAGGGAATTTCAAACTGAACACTTTATTTATTCTTTGGAGCAGATTGTTCTCCTACTCTCCATGTCTACGGATATCTCATTTGCGATAATAGACTAAAGTATTGGTTTCTGTATTTAGTGGCATAGGAATTCTGTGTTCAATCTCTGGACTGTGTGGTACAGACTTGGATTCATTGGAAACAGGGTGAGCAATCACAGAGCAGTAGTTAAAAAAAAAAAGATATCCCTAGACCTCCTGGACAACTGTTATAGAGTAGTTTCACAGTGGAGGCTTGGAGTTGTACTAAGTCGGTCCTAAAATAGGTTTGACGTACAAAACGTTAGGAACTTGATATAATAGGTAATGACGCAGAGAAATCTAGTCATGGTCACTGATACTTTAGTATCCAACTAACGGTCGTCCGGCATCGACTGACCAACTCACTGAGCGACTTACTTGTTACTCTTACTACTCCTATTTATTATAAGTGGGAGAGTCTATTAACTATAGAATAGGTGTGTTCCACTATAACAACAACAGAGCAAGAACCTACTACTCTCATAGATTAAATAAAGAGTTTAGTTCAAAATCCCCTAAAGATTACCTAGATTGAAAAACACCTGAAGAAGGCCAGAGCATAGAACAGCGGAATGTTGTGAGGATAATAATAAAGATAAAGAACATTAGTCCAACTGTAAATAACAGATTGACAAACACCTGAAGAAGGCCAGGGCGTAGAACAGCTGAAATGTTGTGAGGATAATAATAAAGATGAAGAACATTAGTCCAACTGTAAATAACAGATTGACAAACACCTGAAGAAGGCCAGAGCGTAGAACAGCTGAAATGTTGTGAGGATAATAATAAAGATGAAGAACATTAGTCCAACTGTAAATAATGTGAATAAAATAACAGTCAGAAAAAGGAAAGATTTTGAAATAGAATCAAAGAGATTTCATTCAAATAAGTTGGATTGCCTGCAGAATTTTGGAGCATAAGTATGGAATTTCCTTATGGGCATTCCATGATGGGAGTAAAATGTTTAACAGACTTTCTGAATATTTATTTCATCTGACTTTCATCCGATTGTTGTGGTGTGTTTTTTTTGTGAAACTGTGATGCTTCTGTTGAAACTATTGTTTAGACAATGCTCAAATTTTGTGACAGTTTTAGTAAATATCTGATAAGCTAAAAAATGGAATTGAGGAAAGTAATCATTGTTATAAAGACTTGAGCAAAAGAACAAATAAACCTTCACGTTAATAAACACTGCCAATTCCCTCGACTGCTTCCAAGTAAACTATTTTCTTTGCAGTTTTTCTTCTTAAACCTTTTTCTATTTGACTAACTTTTCTTTCCTTTGGGGTCAGGGGGGCAGGTCTTCATTTTCCCTCTCAATTTGTGTGTCTGTTTTTTTCACATTTCTTTTTTTGTCCTGTTTAGAAAAAGAAAATTCTTCCAGTTTTTTTAATTTTTGTCAAATTAACTCCAATCTCTTGTTAAGATGATAAAAGACAAAAGAGAAATACAGCTTTTATTGTTGTGGCTTCATTTTTACCACAACAGCATTTAAGACAAAATGTTATTCCAATTTGAATAAGCAGATAACACCTAATGTTGCCACTATTATTGGTAATAACCTATCCTTCATTATTTATTTTTTATTAATTTGTGATTCACTTATTACATCTATATTCATTCAGTCATTCTCTCTCACTTATTGATTCTTCAATTTCATCTTTTTCTTGAAGTTTTTTTTTCTTAAAAATACCAGCTTGATAATTTCACTTGAAATGATTTTCTTGGGGCCAAAGTAAAACAAGATTAAATAAGAGTCACGCTTATTCTTGAGTTCAAACTGAAGAAGTTTCTTTGAAATTGCCCTTCTAAACCAAACAATGTTTTCGTCTGTTCAAACATTTACTCTCTGATTCATTCTAAACTTTTCAGTTGGCTTTTCATTCACAATTGGTCATCTTGAATTGTTTTTCTAATCTTATTCATTTCTTATCTTTAAAAAAAAAAACAAAAAAAAACCTTCTTTCCTCTTTAGTTTTCAATCAAATACAATGATGAAAACACTTATGCATAACTAACCTATTTTCTCATTTGAGCATTTTCTACTGAATGGTAAGCACAATTCTTTCAATTTAATGACTTATTCAAGTTGATTTACTTGCAAAATCACATCAATGGCTCAAGCTTAATAAAATGAAAAAATAATGTTTGCTCTTGTTGATATAAATGAAGATTTTCTATTGACAAGAAAAAACAACTTGTCACTAACCTCCAGAACTTGTTATTTACT